ATAATTTTTATAATGGAATATTTTATAATGTTTTTGTTAACTTGTTGTAATTAAGCTGAACGCAGGTCATTTTGGGTTCGCTGTTTAAAAAAACTGCAATGTTAAACTCACCGAAACTGGAGAGAATGATGTGGTGGCTAGATGTTGAACATTGCTGTGAGGATTTGATTGAACATTAGTGAGGTCAGGTACTGATGTTGGATGGTCAGTTCTGGGTCACTCCAACTCATCCCAAAGGTATTGGATGGAGCTCCATCATTCCAGAGAACACAGTTCCACTGCTCCACAGCCCAATGCTGGGGGGCTTTATACCCCTCTAGCCTAAGCTGGGCACTGGGCATGGTGACCTTAGGATCATGCGCAGCTGATCCAGAGTGTCCCATTCTATTGGTCAGTGCTTTTCTATGGAGATTACACAAGCTGTATCAGTGATGGGACCTTAAAGTAGCTAAACTCACTCATAAGGTGTAAAAACTGACCGCGCTCTTTGTGTGTCTGAGGAAATCATGTTCCTGGTGTCTTATTCAGGGTGCAGATATCTGAAGCTCAGATCCATTTTCTCCAGAAGTGTTTTATAGAAAGCTGAACTTGATCTTGCTGTTCCTCAGAGCTTCCTCATGCTTGTTAACGTATCCATTAGCTTTGGATAAAATATAATGAGTTTACAGTCAGTCCTGCTCTGGTCCTACAGCAGCGGCTGGACCAGTTGTGTCCTATTTTACCTCCGAGCCGGAGCAGACTCGGAGCTGCAGCAGAGGCAGATGTAATTCCTTTCTGTTGGTCAGTGCTTCTCTATGGAGATGATACAAGCTGTGTCAGTGATGAGTGACATTGCAGTAGCTGTACTTATTCATGAAGAGGGCTGTTTGGTTCTGTTATAGAGTATAATAAGCAACAGCACTCTGTATATATATATATATATATATATATATAGGGTCATAACATGATTTCCTCTCTCTCTCTATATATATAACCGGGGTTATAGAGGTATCTCAGGAGCAGAGGCTGTTACAGGATGTGCTGCAGCAGTGAGATCCATTTTCTCCTGATTTGCTTGGTGTCTGTTTTGTAGAAAGCGAAACTTGATCTCACTGTTCCTCAGAACTTCCTCATGCTTGTTAACATGTCCATCAGATACCGTTTAGCGCTGATTGCACTGTTGGGTTTTGGCCAGTCATCAGAACACCAGCTAAATTAATGAGCTAATGGTCAGTCCTGCTCTGGTCCCACACCAGCAGCTGGATCAGTTGTACCTGATGTGCCACCCTCTGTCTGAAACGCACTGTTAGAGCCCCACCCTCCGATGAGCCCAGTGTGCTCTGATTGGTCACTCTGTTTTGATATGTCAGCCTCCAGAGCGGTTCCGCCCCTCCAGGTTCCACCCCTGTCCTGCAGACTGCAGACAGACCCTTCTCTCCTGAGCAGCTGTAAACTCCGCTGTGGCTGTTTCTCCAGCGGTGCCGGTTCTGCCGGATCTGTTTGATCCAGAGTGGATCCTGAAAGTCTGGTCAGTGTCTCTCCACACTCTACAGCACTGAACACACTCTTCCTCCTCCAGTAGCCGCTGTGCGCTGTGTGAGGGGGCGGACCTCGCCAGGAGGCGGGCAGTAAGGACTGTGTTACAAGATGATGTCATCCTGTAACAAAGGAAAAGGGCTGGAATTCCAACAAGGCATTTCAGGCAGCTCAGAAAAGTGGGTTCTGTGGGAGAGAGTTTCTCTTGACTTTTTCTTCTCCATTTTGTTGGCCTGCGTGTCTCCACCTGTGTTGGGGAAGCGGTTGTGATTAGTGGTTGTGATTGTGTGTTTATAAACACTCTATAATCTCTCAGTGTATCCTGGTGGGAATCTGCTGGAATGTTTAAAGTGAGCGACGGCTTTGTGTCCGACTGTGCCGGAGTCGGTATCTCTTCTCCGAGTGATCAGAACCTCCCTCACTGAGTTTGTTCATTAGTGCAGCAGCTACACTCAGCTTACGGTGCACGGTATCAGCTGGTATCGGTGCATTTTTATGAGTACGAGTAAACGAGTGTGGTATCGGCCGAGACCCAGTAGAAGTATCGTTATCGATGCATCCTTAATTATTGTCATTATTATTATTGGTGTTGTTGTTGTTGTTGTTGTTGTTGTTTGTGTTGTTATGATCAGTTTAGACAGAAAGTGAGGAGTGAAATAAAAGGTCTGAAGGTCTGTGAGAGCAGCAGCTCCTCCTCGTTAGCCCTGCTGTTTGTTAGCGTCCTCTGTTTCTCCTCTGCTGTGGTGAAGCAGGTGAGAGCTGCGGCCGTGATTGGTGAGCGGCGCTGTGTGAGAACAGGTGTGAACTTATTCAGCTTATATAAGTTCCTCTCTCTCTCAGGGAGAAGCAGGTGATGTTACAGCTTATGCAACACAAACTAATTCACACCCCCCGTCTGATAATGATGACAGATAAGTGAAGGGGGGGGGTAACAGCCAGGTGTGCTTTACAGCTGGACTTTTGTCCTGAACTGGGTCAGAGGGAGGGAGTGTGTGTGTGTGTGTTGGTGCAGGCTGCAGTGTCCAGTGAAGTCAGTGCAGTGTTATATAGACTGTTCCACTTCTTTACTATCTGTCCTACAATTCTGCTCACCAGGTGAGTCAGATACAGTGTCTGACCTAGAACCAGAACCCACAGAGAGAGAGGGGAGGTGTGGACAGACGGATTAGACTTCATCTTGGATGTTTGTGTGTTCCTAAAAGATGGATGGTTCTTCAAGAGTTCTTTAGTAAAGGAAATGGCTCCCACTTCTATTTAGAACCATTTGCATGCTTATATGTTTCTCTGTATGGTGAAATGGCTTTAGATTGATGTAGAGTGTGTTGTATATGGTTCTATTTAGCACCAAAAAGAGTTCTGCTAGTGAAGCTTGTATTCAATTGAAGAACCCATCTTGGTTATATATAGGACCATCTATAGTACATTCTCTGTCAATCTAAAGAACCATTTCACCTTGGGTTCTTTGAGTGTTCATGCGCTGTATTAATGAGCTTGAGCTGAATGAATCTGCTCTGATTGGTGTTCAGTTCCTCTTCCTGTTAACTCAGATGTCCACCAGGCATGGTCATCTGTTGGGTCGCGTAAACAGAACCAGTCTGTGAGCCGATGTGTGGTCAGCTGTCCTGCGTTTCATGAGTATCATCGAGGAGAGAGAGGAGATGCTGCACGTGCTGAGGGAGAAGCGTGTTCTCTCTCTCTGTGAGGGTGAATAATGAGGAATGTTGAGAGAAACATTAGGAAAAGACCTTAAAATGACCAGCACTTGGACTTAACCAGGACTTAGACGTCTTTGAGAGGTCATTAGGGGTCATATTTATCTGCATGACATATTTGCTGTGAAATGCACATCTACATTACAGTGGAGTAGCATGCAATGATGTGATATTTAAGCAGTAGAACACAGAGGGAGTGTGTTATAACATGAAATAACTTGACGGCTGTGATTTGGTCGTCGTAGATCATCACAGCCGTGATGTTATTGGCGATAACACACTCCCTCTGTGTTCTACTGCTTTAATACAACAGTTAAATAAATACAGTAATAAATTAATAAACTGGGCCGTGAACGCGGCGTTTAATATGTTTTAATGATCGCAGTTCCTTCACCAAATTATAGTTCCTTAACGAGCAGCTCGTTGCTACGTCAGAGTAACGAGCTCCGCCCACTCGCTGCTCAGCCAGCAGTTCGTTCTCCAGCTCCACACAGACAAACCTCCCACTCCTACTGTAAACCTCCCACTCCTGCTGTAAACCTCCTACTCCTGCTGCAAACCTCCCACTCCTACTGTAAACCTCCCACTCCTGCTGTAAACCTCCCACTCCTACTGTAAACCTCCCACTCCTGCTGTAAACCTCCCACTCCTACTGTAAACCTCCCACTCCTGCTGTAGACCTCCCACTCCTACTGTAGTCCTCCCACTCCTACTGTAAACCTCCTACTCCTGCTGCAAACCTCCCACTCCTACTGTAGTCCTCCCACTCCTACTGTAAACCTCCCACTCCTACTGTAAACCTCCCACTCCTACTGCAAACCTCCCACTCCTACTGTAGTCCTCCCACTCCTACTGTAAACCTCCCACTCCTGCTGTAAACCTCCCATTCCTGCTGTAAACGTCCCACTCCTACTGTAAACCTCCCACTCCTACTGTAGACCTCCCACTCCTACTGTAAACCTCCCACTCCTGCTGTAAACCTCCCATTCCTGCTGTAAACGTCCCACTCCTTGTGATTGAGAATGGACTGATTAATGGAGAACACTGTTGTGATCTTATCTAGAGTATGCATGACGCCCTATAAAAAGGGTTCTTCAGCCATGAAGAACCATGGCAGCTCAAAGAACCTCCCAAATTCTTGAGTGGTCCTTCTTTATTGTTATTTACTTTCATTGTTCTATTTTATTGTTATTGTTGTATTATTTTGCCTCTCATTTATTTGCTTTATTTATTTTTTGTTATTGTTTTCTTTTTTCTGTTTGATTTGATTGTCTAACTTGTTTTATTTGTTAAAACTTTTTTTTGCATTTCATACTGTTTCATCTTTTTGTCATTGCTCCTCTTCCATTATGACAGATTCATATTTTCTATTTTCATTCCCGTTTTTTGTTCTAATGCTCGGCTGCATTCTAAACGAGGGTCACCCTGAATGTACCTGAGTTTGAATAGAGGTTGATTGATTCTGGACTGGGCAGAGTGAAGTCATGCACAGATGATTCTTTTGATGATCTGAAGATGCTTGTCAAGGACTGAATGCTCTGCTCTTGACCTAAATAGCAGAAGAGACAGGGCTGTAATGCTGGCAGGGTCGAGAGTGGACCTGTCTGTAAGGTGAACACTGCTGGTCTGAAGGTTGATGGATTTGCTCATTTGTAGATTGTTTGAAGAAGGAAGAAAGGAATGCGTTTGCATTTATGTTCGTAGACCTTCAGTGCTCATTAGAGTGAAGTGGAAGTCTGAGATGGTCTTTTTTCTCCGGTTGTCGTTCTGCAGGCGACTACTTTGGCATCCTGATGGAGCAGAAGGTGACTGGCTTCCCGTTTAACGTCATGGAGAACCCGATGTACTGGGGCAGCACCGCCAACTACCTCGGCCTGGCCTTAATGTGAGTAGACCTGCCGCCTGCGTGGTGTATGGGTTAAAGACGCCTCTGGGCGTTTATGCGGTTTGTTCGCATCTCCTTAAATCCCCTTTAAAGGCTCTTCATATATCATGATCCTCATATGTTTCATATCTAAATGCTCCGTTATCTTCATCACTACTTTCCAAAACCGCTGCAGCAGCTTCAGCAGCTGTAAACTCTCTGCATGCCGTTTCACATGAGTCTCCGATGTGGACTGAATGAAGAATGAAGGGTTTCCGGCGTGATGGTCAGTCCTTAGTCATTTCCTGAGTGTCCATTGGTCAGTTTCACACAGAATGTAGACGGAAATCCACCAGTTCCACGCGGTGAGAGGCAGATGACGTGTATCTCAGCCCCTCTTCATAGGCTCATAACTCCGGATGTGAGTCTCGTATGATCTCGTGATAAGATGGAATGAAAGGGCGACTCTACAGATTCAGGAAGTGTCTGAACTGGATTTCTGAGCTGGATCATCACAAAGATACAGACAGAGAATTTGACACAAAGGTGAGTTCGTCAACCCCAGAAGGTTTAATGGTGTTTTCATACATTTGATCCCTAGAATATGCAGGTGGATCACAAAGCTCCTGATCACTTACTGTTTTTGTAACGGAGCTAAGATTACTAAAGGCTGCAGAGTCGTTACTCAAAAACAGTAATTCATTACAAATTACCAATTACCTCAAAATATAATGGGATTACTTTACTGATTGCTTATGACTTAGAGTTCCCTCAAACATCTGTACCAACTGGATTGTACAAGGAAGGACAACCAAAAACCCTTTCAGCACACTCTTAAAAATGATGGTTCTTTAATGATTCTTTAGTATAGAACCATGAACACGCAAAGAACCCTTTACATGATAAAATGTTTCTTTGCATTGTTAAAGATTCTTCAAATTGTTGGAGAATGTAGATTATTCTAAATAGACCCTTTTTGAAAAGGGTTCTATATAGCATCAAAAAGGTTCTTCTGTTGTGATGATGTCAAGACAGGTAACAATAGAAGAACACTTTTTGTTGCTACATAGAACCCTTTTCAAAAAAATAAAAATTATACAGAACCATATAATACACACTTTCCATCAATCTGCAGAACCATTTTACCATGCAAAGAAACATTTAATCACACAAATGGCTCTTTGAGTGTTCATGGTTCTACACAGAACCATATTCTTTACTAAAGAACCCCTATAGTGTGCATGTCCCCTATCCCTGCCTCCCTAATCAGACCCAGCCATGCTGAAAATCGCGTCTGGCCTGTTTAGGTCCCTCCATTTTCTCCCGATTTGCTTAGAGTTTGTTTTGTAGAAAGCGAAACTTGATCTCACTGTTCCTCAGAACTTCCACACGCTTGTTAACATGTCCATCAGATGCCGTTTAGCGCTGATTGCACCTGCATTTAGTCGGACATCAGAACACCAGCTAAATTAATGGGCTTCTGAGAAGAGAACAGCTTATATCCTAATTCTGAAGAAATGAGACAGTGTGTGCAAATTATTATACAGTTTCCACCAAATCACACAACAGTAACACTATTATATACCAACCAACACAGCCTTACACTGAAAGAGAGCTGCCAGATGTGCCAGCACGATTCAGAACAAGGAGAGGAACAGAAGACGTCTTTACTGACATACGCTGGATTATTAAAAAGGTGAGGAGGTCAGGAAGGAAGTAAACATGCATTTTCTTGACTACAGCCAAAGTTTTGACTGCATCATCCATGTAAAATGGAATGTCCTTGGGAAAATGGGAATACTAGAGCATCTCACTGTTCTAATGAGGAACCTCTATGCTGATCAGCAAGCCACAGACATCACAGAAAATGGCCAAACAAGATTTATTGACACACTGCTTTTTACACAGACATTTTCACAAAGCAGCTTTACAAAAAATGCATGTTCAAGCCCCAAATGAGCATCGCCAAGGGCGAAAAAACTCTGTTAGACTGTTAGACATTAAGAAATAAACGTACATTTTTCGTTCATCAAGGTACAAACAGTGTAAATGTTCCTCAAAGCTCCAACAGTGGTTTTAAGGTCTGATTGTGAACCTTAAATAAGTTTCTTCAGGTGAAAAGTTCGTATTTGTATCTTTTCATAACCGAATGTTTTAAACAGAACAGTAAAATAAAAGCCTGGAGGCGAGACGGGGTGTGTGGAGTCAGTACAGCTTAGAACATATCATTCAGTGGATTATGGTTCAGTTATGTTCCCTGACTGAAGGTACTGAGATGGAGCTTTGAGGGTTCCACCCCAGTGACAAGAGGGGAACTGACCCAATGACCGTTTAGTACCTTTATTTCTTAAAATGTAAGAAAACCCTTGAGAGGAACTGAGACTCAGAAGGAGAACCCATCCTTCTCTGGTCGAGGCCTGGTCAGACCAGGTTCTACAGTAAGGCAAGGTTGCCCGCTGTCAGCATTCTTGTTTAATCCTTATGCAGAACATATAATGAGAAAAGCAATTCTGGAGGAAGGAGCTGATTTTGGATGATCAGCTCGTCCCAAAGGTATTGGATGGAGCTCCATCACTCCAGCGAACACAGTTCCACTGCTCCACAGCCCAATGCTGGGGGGCTTTAGACCCCTCTAGCCCATGCTGGGCACTGGACATGGTGACTTTAGGATCATGTGCAGCTGCTCCAGAGTGTCCCATTCTATTGGTCAGTGCTTTTCTATGGAGATTACACAAGCTGTATCAGTGATGGGACCTTAAAGTAGCTAAACTCACTCATAAGGTGTAAAAACTGACCGCGCTCTTTGTGTGTGTCTGAGGAAATCATGTTCCTGGTGTCTTATTCAGGGTGCAGATATCTGAAGCTCTGTCAGGATGTGCTGCAGCTTCAGATCCATTTTCTCCAGAAGTGTTTTATAGAAAGCTGAACTTGATCTTGCTGTTCCTCAGAGCTTCCTCATGCTTGTTCACGTATTCGTCTGATACAGTTCACCACCGATTGCAGCTTTGGATAAAATATAATGAGTTTACAGTCAGTCCTGCTCTGGTCCTACAGCAGTGGCTGGACCGGTTGTGTCCTATTTTACCTCCGAGCCGGAGCAGACTCGGAGCTGCAGCAGAGGCAGATGTAATTATAGCTAATGGATGTCTCCAGTGAGGCCGCGTTACTGAGAATGCAGCTATATCTGGATGCTCTTTACTCATAAAACATCCAAATGTGAGATGTAGTCGGGCCTCGGGTTTAATGAACTTTTTATTGCTGATCAGAGGAGTTTGAATTGCTCCTGATTGAGTTTTCTTTATTTGCTGTATTAAGACAAACACGTTGAATTTAAAAGGGCAGAAAAAAGAACAGAGCAGGAAAGAGATGACGCAAACAACTGGGCCGGCATTTTAAGGAGCATTTTAAGCTCCAGTGAAATTGTGATGTTAAAGATGTTTTTTATATAACTCTGGAGGACTTTCTTCCTGAAAACCGAGCATGTGCCTGCATGTGGTCACCATGGCAACACCGGCCAAACGTCCGCTGGTGACTGACTTTGCTCGGTTGCTAGGCAGCTGCTGCTGGAGCAACTGTCCCATGACCTCCCAAACTCTGCTCTCCCCCTCTTTCTTTTTCTCTTTCTCTCTTTTTGTTCTCAGCGGTTGCCGTCTCACATTCCGATCGATCGGGCCGGCCGCCCCAGGCAGTGGCCGCCCCTGAGCTCCTGCGTCAGAGACCCCAGGGATGTAAGAGACTGGCTGCTAGGCGTGCGTAAAGGAGGCGCTTCACGTGTGGCCCTCTGACCGCCGCATGCTTGATGTTGCAGCTTGCTGTGGCGATTGCGTGCGCATGGCTGAGTGAGGCGGTATTAGCGGGCTGCGCTGATGACGGGCCACCATCAGCAACAGCGCTGAACCCCTTAATCCTGTATTTCTGCTCTGTGTGTTTGTGACTCAGCCCTCCAGCTCAAAACATTTGCAGGTGCAGAAACATCTCAGCAGCGTCCAGCTGCGTTTCAAAATGACAGATAAACGCTAGTTGAACTTTTCAAGTCACTGATGGAAAAAAATAATAATGAAATATGACTAATGTTTGAGGAAGAGTCTGTAGATTACATTAATATTTCATCATGTTGTCTATCTGTGTGGTGCATGTCTGAACGGTATGTTTGGTAACAGCCAAAGGTTGGAGCACATTTGCTCTGAAGTAGCTTTTGACATTATTGTTCATTCTGCTACAGCAGTTTAGCTCCACCATTCAGTCTACAGCAGTTTAGCTCCACCATTCAGTCTACAGCAGTTTAGCTCCACCATTCAGCTACAGCAGTTTAGCTCCACCATTCAGTCTACAGCAGTTTAGCTCCACCATTCAGTCTACAGCAGTTTAGCTCCACCATTCAGTCTACAGCAGTTTAGCTCCACCATTCAGTCTACAGCAGTTTAGCTCCACCATTCAGTCTACAGCAGTTTAGCTCCACCATTCAGTCTACAGCAGTTTAGCTCCACCATTCAGTCTACAGCAGTTTAGCCCCACCATTCAGTCTACAGCAGTTTAGCTCCACCATTCAGTCTACAGCGGTTTAGCCCCACCATTCAGTCTACAGCAGTTTAGCTCCACCATTCAGCTACAGCAGTTTAGCCCCACCATTCAGCTACAGCAGTTTAGCCCCACCCATTTTCATTAGTGGGAATGGGCGTGGCTAAACTGTGAGTTATGTGCTGCTCCTGCAGCCTTAATTTGAGGATGGGGTTAAATGAAAATGTTCTGTGTATTCTGTGTAAACCCAGAGTGCCTCTGAGTTTCTGTCAGTGAGGGTAAAAATTATATATATATATATGATCTCTGCACTCACTGCTGCTTTATGTTCACTCTCTCTCTCAAAAAGCTGTGTAGTGTCGCACGTCCGTCAGTACTTCATTAAGAGGATGGAGGGATGTATACGCTGCAGTCTTTTGTTCTAAAACTGGGCCACACCTTTATAGTCTTCAGTGCGTTTAAACACTTCATATACTGTAGACAGCATAACTGTCAGCTCTGTAACTCCCACACAGAGCACGTCACATACAGCACATTTGCACACATTCATGGTGCTTCTCCTCCGTCACCTAGCCACCCTCTGACCATTCCGAGCATCTGACCCACGTTCCTATAAGATCAGCTGGTGCCGTGTGCATAAATAATGGCATTTCATGAGCTGCTTGGTCGATCCTTTATGTTGCCGAGGTTATTTCAGATCAGGCATCACCTTTTATGAACAGTTGCCGTTTGTTTTGCTTTCAGAGTCCGTCAGTGACGAGAAAAGAAACTTGCATGGCAGTTAACTCTGTGGGGCTTGTGCGTCAAATTATACGGTTCTCTCTCTTTATGATAATCCAGCTCAGAAATCCAGTTCAGACACTTCCTGAATCTGCAGAGTCGCCCTTTCATTCCATCTTATCACGAGATCATACGACACTCACATCCGGAGTTATGAGCCTATGAAGAGGGGCTGAGATACACGTCATCTGCCTCTCACCGTGTGGAACTGGTGGATTGGTGTGTCCGTCTACATTCTGTGTGAAACTGACCAATGGACACTCAGGAAATGACTAAGGACTGACCATCACGCCGGAAACCCTTCATTCTTCACTCAGTCCACATCGGAGACTCATGTGAAACGGCGTGCAGAGAGTTTAAAGCTGCTGAAGCTGCTGCAGCGGTTTTGGAAAGTAGTGATGAAGATAACGGAGCATTTAGATATGAAACATATGAGGATCATGTTATATGAAGAGACTTTAAAGGAAAGTTTAAGAAGAGATTCAAATCGAGAAAATGACCTCAGACCACAGAGGGGAAACTGAAAAGTGGCACAAAATGGTAAATTACCCAAAGTGACCCACATCCCTGAATATTCTGGATCATTTTTCACTATGTAGGTCACATCATATTGGGCATATATTTCACGAATTTCCTGATGTGCCCCGTATTTAAAGTGACGCAGGCATAGAGCTCTCGGTGCACGTACTGCTCCTGTACGCATCATTTCCTGCATGTGTGACCCAGCAATAGTGAGCCTGTTAGTGAATCTGTGAGATTTGTGCAGGAAACTCCTGTCCTCAACTGAACTGCGCCTTTATTTACTTATTAAACACGTAATGTGCATAGTATATTTTGGCATAAATTGATGCAACAGACTGCAAGAGATTAACATGTGAGATGAGTTGCATCAGCTCAACTCATCCTGCTGTGTTTCTGCCTTGAGCCGAGTTAATCGCTCAGTTCTGTCGGTGCGTTTTAAAGAGGAGAGATGACTGAGTGATCTGTCTGTTCACTCAGCTGGACGTTCACTATACCACTTTAATATCCTAGCAGAAAACAGAGAGCATCACACACTTAACGTCAGTCTGTCACAGAGTTTCCTGTCTTGTTGTCGTGAGGTGCTCAGACTGGACGACACGGCAAAGAGAGAGAATAACACACAGAACGAGTTTGGGCTACGAATAAGAACTCAAACTCCCAGAATTCCTCAAATCACACGACACACAGAGCCGAACTCACTGGACCTGTTTGGGCTTTTATGTGCAGCAAAAGCTCAAAAAGGTGATGAGTCTGTGGTGAGAAACACTGATATCTGGAGAAATATTTAAAACCAAATTAAATTAAATCAAATCACGTTTATTGTCACACAGTTATGACTGAGTGAGGTGCGTAGCCCAGTTGTATTACTGAAATACTGAAATCTATAAAAAAAAATCACAAACACGCACACACACACGTGTGTGTGTATGTATATATATATATATATATATATATATATATATATATATATATATATATGTATATATATATATATATGTGTGTATGTACACACACTCATATACGCATTAATATACACCAGTATTGCACCATTCCAATGTACAGTTTTTGTACAGTAATATAAGTTATGAAATAAAAGCTATAATATGAACAGTTGTACACATTTCTGTAAATGCAGTTTGTGAGTCTGAGGTTTTTGGGTCATTCTCCATTTGGAGTGTGAATTCAGGTGGATAAATTTTTTTTTTATTTCTTTCATACTCTAACTAAATAATCTTAATGTGTCCATGAACATCTCCTATTATCATCTATGCAGAAAGGAGCTTAATTCCAAACATAGTCTACAGTCACTGGTGTTGTATGAATATGGTGTAACTCCAGTGACATTCTGGTTAAAACTGAGGATTTTGTAAACTGGCTGACTCGGCTGATCAGGTGACCTTGTGCTATTATTTAAAATCAGTAATAAAAATGATATAAATGGCATTATTTTGACTACATTAATTACCCAGCCATTAAAGGACAAAACACAGCTGACACATAGAAGTTATGAGCTGCCTGATAAACAAAATTATTAATAAATTAATTATTATAATGAAATACAGTGAGCGAGTGTGACTCGCCTTCTCATGCCTTGAGACGCTTCCTTTCTGATGAGTCTCAACCCAAAGAAGCAGTTTAATAGAGCTGAACATACTGTGTTAAAATGTAAAATAAGAGTCCTGATAACACCAGTGACCACAATCTCTGTGACAGATGAATTTTTGAAATAAAACACGTTTTTTAAATGTAGTATAACATTAATGTTCTTAAAAGTAAACATGAATCTGTTTTATACAAATTCCTGAGTCTCCGCTCTGCTGTTCATGCTCATCTCTCCTGCAGGTTTAGTTCCCTGTCAGAAAAGCTCTTCTGTACAGCTGTAAGTAAAGTAGGTTTCATAGTTTTGATCCTCCTCTGTCTCTTTCAGCAGCAGCACAGCGACAGCAGGAATCACATCCGAGGCTGACGCATCCGAGGAGCTCACGCTTCCAGTTTTCCATCTTGTTGGAGTCGTTTGATTGGCTGGTTGAGCTGTAGCTGAATGTCCCCTAAAGCCAGACAGACACTGTGTGATGTTAGAGATCTTGTTCTTTGGTGACTCTCACTGTCCGTTTATTAGACCATCGTGTTCAGACAAAGCTATGATTTATAAACTCACACTGTACGAAACGCTCCGTCTGACTGACCTGCTACAGGAAACGCAGCCTCCACAGACGCTCTGTCTACAGACCGTTATCAATAAAGCTGATTCACTCAGAATAACCGAGTACTGAGCAAACACGCTGAGACGCTGAGCAGCGCTGCTAACACTGAGCACTGAAGATAAAGCAGGCGCTGATGTTCACGGTAGGACAGTTCGGTCTCTCTACAGCCTGAATTACAGAAAAATCACCGTATTAATGTTTATATCTCGATATTATATTCAAACAGAGTAAAGTCTCATATTCAGACTTTGGTAGGACATCTCGACTTTTTCTCCTCCGTTTTGTTGGCCTGCGTGTCTCCAACCGTGTTGGGGAAGCGGTTGTGATTGTGTGTTTATAAACAGTGTATCCTGGTGGGAATCTGCCGAAGGGGAATGTTTGAAGTGAGCGACGGCTTTGTGTCCGACTGTGATGGAGTCAGTAACTCTTCTCCGAGTGATCAGATCCTCCTTCACTGAGTTTGTTCATTAGCACAGCAGCTACACTCGGCTTATGGCGCACGGTATCAGCTGGTATTGATTGATGGTATCAGTGAACTTTTTATGGTACGAGTAAATGAGCGCAGTGACTGCCTGATACTCAATTCAATTATTGGAATCAGTGCATCCCTAATGATTTGTGTGCCGGATTTAAGGATAAATTGTAAATTTATGGCAGACTGTATGAAGTTGCCTCTGGCAGTTTGAGGCTCCTGGTTTAAAAGGAGATTTAAGTTCAGTGTTCTGGTTTAAGGCTGCACTGCACAGACGAAATGTCATATTACGATCTTCTCCACACACAAGGGGAACCCAGACCCCCAAAATGACGTGGAGACTCTTGTAGGTCTGTCTGTGTGTTTTCACAGCGAGCGAAGCCGCTGACGTCTGGCGTTATTCTTGTTTCAGACCCACAGGTGGCAGTTAGACGTGATTTCCAGGCTCTTCCTTCGTCAGCTGTAAGACTCAGAGCGTTCTTGCCTGATGTTGCTGAGATGCTCCGAGGCTCAGAGCCCAGAAGAACATGCACACGGCGATGCAGACGTCACACGGTCTCTTCCCCTGTGTGCGTTAAGGATGTGATTCAGGATTCTGTGACCAGGCCAACTATACATAGCAGCTTCATTATCATCCATATCAGTGTCTCATCTTAATCAGCAACATCTCATTAAAATCCAGAATGTGAAGTGACGAATATGCAGCTTGATTTGTTTAGATTAGTCTCACTCGGCTGGCCGCTGATGCTGCCCATCAGAAGTTTAACATCTTTACAGATTTGAATCTTCTCACTTTTCTTACTGTGTATCGTGTTACATACACACTTAAAGTGGTTCTTCAAGGGTACTTTAGTAAAGACAGTGGATTATATAGAACCATGAACACTCAAAGACTCGTTTGCATGATGAAAGTGTTCTCTGCATGGTGAAATGGTTCTTTAGATTGATGGAGAATGTGTTGTATATGGTTCTTTGTAGCATCAAAAAGTGCAATAATTTGCATAATATCTGCACTTATTTAAATTATTGTAATGTTCAGTAATATCAGTTATCGACTCAAGGCTGTTAAACACCTGAATAGTTTGAGATCTGATGAGTGCTGACATCACAGCAGTGGGTGTGGCCTTTGGCTTCATTCCCAGTGTAGCACTGTCACTGATACTGGTGCAAATATTTACAGGTGTGATGTTGTTTTAGTCTAAATAAACTGAATACAGGTGTTCATCAGTCCTGAGATCCGCGCCACTCTGGAGGAACTGGTTTAGCACAGCATCTGTGTTTCACTTCCACACGGCTGAACTGGTGGGAAAGCTCGTCTGTAGACGTCTCTGCTGTTTGCTAACGAGCTAAGCCAGGTTTCTCTTCCTTTATCTGAGTGTGATTTCTAACAAGCTCTGCTGCTCACGTGCAGCGTGTACTGTTGATCTAGAACCTCCCACATATGAGCGGAGAACAAACAGTGATACTTCAGTGTGTCGTGACATCTATTCCCATCCATAGACCTACAGCAGTCAAACTGGACTTCAGCCTGCGTTACTGAGGGGGATCTGAGGGGTCAAACTAGCAGAAGGGGTTAATGATGTTAAAACAGTAGAGGCGTTATTGATTGATTACATTAAAAGTTAAAATAAGTTCCACCCAAAAAACTCTCACATCAATCATACACTTTAAAAAGGAGGACCTGCTTCATACAGCTGACACCTCCACAGGACATCTGAGCCTGTTTAACTGACATGGGCTTCAGACTAAAATCCTAAACCTCAATTATGTTTATTTTATTAAAAGTACTCATTAAATATTCCATTTTGTCTCTACCAAAACAATCATAACTCTACCCAAACTGTACCAAATGTTCAGTAGTGGCTGTTTAAGTGACAGTTTTTGCTCATTTTGAGCTCAGAAACTCAGCCAGTACAGACCAGCAAACACAGCTTTGAACAGCTGTTCACACAGAAAATCATCATATTTTACATTAAAACAAATATGCCGATTCTTAATGTTCCACACTGATTTTCAGACTTTGGGACACATTTACTTCATAACAATGGGATCTAACTGCTCACCATGTGGCCATGAGGGACAGGGATGCAGCCTCACTTCCTGAAATGCAGGGGTGTGGCTAAAATAAGGCTCCACCCACAGACTAAAACTCGGTGGTGGTGTGTGAATGTTAAAAGAAATCCAATAGATCTGTGAAAAAAGAAAAACTACAAAAGCATTGTAAGTGTTATTTTCAGAAGTGTATATTTAGGGGGGAGGGTTTGGGACAGACTCCTCCCAGTGGAAAGTACCCTTTAAATGATGACTGTGTATATATTTAGCTTATTACTGTCTCTGTTAATGCTTTGGGTTCAAACAGATCAGAACAGAATCATTGTAAATATCTGAATACTGCGTTGTTTCTTTTTCACAGTGTGAGGTGATTCAGTAGAACGTTCCACTTGTTTAGAAGCTTTAAAGCTTATGAATTTAGCCTGTAAACTTCGGTTCCAGTGTTCTAGATAGACTACTTAAGTACAGCCTTCAGCAACAACAGAAACAGTGTGTGCAGCCATTACTGTGTCAATATGCACTTAGTTGAAACTGAACTTTTCAGGGGAACAGTACGACTGAGATGACCGATGACCGCTGTGGGATCGTAATACCACGGAATAATAACTGGATAGCTCTGTATTTACGGAGCACTTTCCAGCCGCTGTTTGATGAGTGTGTTGTGTGTCAGTAGGGTGAGGTCAGGTCGAGAGGCTGTTCTGGAACCCCTCCTAGTTTCTGATGTATCCTCAGGATTAGTATCGGTTAATGGAACTGGATCGTAAAACGCTTTCCTGGTGAAGCTGCCAGGAAATTCATATTACCGAGGCGCTGATGTGAGCGTGTTACACTGCAATCTTAAAGGTAGAGCGAACTAAACGCAGAGCAAACTTTCCTCGGAAGTCAAACTGAGGTGGTTGTCTGCTTTATAAACATTTCGGCTGTATTGCTGGTAAGTGTTCCAAAGTGTAAACATCAGACAGGTTACTTAGGAATAACTAAATCACTATGTTAACATATTAAAGAGCAATATGAGCAAATAAATATATATATATATATATATATATATATATATATAATATATTAATCTAGAGCGATTCAGTCACTGTGGCAGTGTGTCAAATAAAAACTGAAGGGCTGATAAATGATCAGATGCAGCAGAAATGAAACAAAAGAAAAAGTCATGGCAGATATTTTGGCTGAGGAGACCCAACAACTGTAAATAAAAAATGAGCTGCAAACTCAGAAAACACTTTCATCAGAATGACAACGAGCGCTTCATTTCACAAACGCGCTACAGATACAGAGAAACAAAAACAGCACATGTAACTCCACTTCAGACAGGAGGTGATGCCTCAGACCTCATTAACTATAGACCATCTCGAAAACTGTCACGCTTAGCCAAGATCTTAGAAACCTTAGTAGATGATCAACTCAAGGCTTTTCTGCATAGAAATTCAGTTTTATCAGACGACCAATCTGGTTTCAGAGAAAAGCACAATCTCTGCAGCTGCTCTCATCTTAGACGATCTGTTCGGTGCTATCGATAAAATGCGCAGTGATTTTTTATTGACCTCTCTAAAGCCTTTAATACAGTTGGTCATTCCCTACTTTTAAAAAGTCTACACAATATTGGTTTTGATCACAGGGAAACGATCTTTCCGATAGACAGCAGTGTGTGGTCCTGGGACAGGGTTAATTGGAGCTACTACTGGTAACTATTGAACTCAAGGTTCAATCCTCGGACTAGTGTTATTTAATATTTATATTAATTGCCACCTCAATTGTTGACTGCAAAGTACACTTATATGCCGATGACACTGTCTTGTACTGCTCAGCTGACTGTATTAATGCTGCTCAGTGGATAAACTGCAGCGTTCTTTTAATGCCTTACAATCTGCTTTTTACAACCATAAACTAGTTTTAAATGTTGAGAAAACCAAGTTTATGCTGTTTCCCAGAGTCTCTAACATTGAACGCTTTTAAAATCACAACCCTGAAGTGATCTGACTCTGAAAGAGTTAGTGAGTGTAAGTACTTTGACATATGGCTAGACGACAAATGCACTTTTAAACAACATATTAATTTGCTCTCATGTAAACTGAGGCAATAACTTGGCTTTATGTATCAAAACAAGGTGTGTTTCCAAAAACACACAAGGAAAAGGATCATTAAAGCAGCGCTAGTGTCTACACAATCATTCATAAAGACCCAGTTTTGTCACCATCTGGCGCAAACAGAGTTCATACCATCTGGTTCTGTTTGAACCAGTTACTCACTGCTGAGCTCTGAAACACCTTCAACATCCCTGCTTTTCTAATCTCACAGTCTGGGATTGATTTTACTCACAGATATTATTAGAGTGAAATACACAAATAACCAAACACACAAGACCAGCATCGCACACTGACGGACACGTTCACTCCTCTCCGCACTGTAACACCAGCACATACACACGTTTCCAAAGGCTGCATTCCACACTGAGATTCAGAACAGAGCATTTTCTAAATAGAATATAGTAAATAAACACAGCAAAACATCTGTGGAGACAAAAAAGAAAGCATGAATTAAAAAATCACCTGTTGCCTTTAAATCTAAGTATCTACAGCACGATCGGTCTGAATACAAAGAAACATTTTATCATGCAAAGGGTTCTTTGAGTGTTCAAAGGTCTATATAGAACCATTTTCTGTACTAAGGGAAGGTTGAAGAATCTTTTTTTAAGAGTGACTTTTTAAAAGACTTTGTTTAAAGCAGCTTGTTTTAATTGTACTGGGTGTCCCGTCAGCCATCGTAGCCAAACATTTGTGGAACATTTAAACACAGTTCCATATGTAACACAACCTGCTGTCAACTGTTTGAACACGTTGTAGAAAATAATAAGAAGAAGAAGAAGAAGAATTTTTATTTATATACCATTTTTTATGTAGCTCAAAGTGCTTTACAGACAGGAGATAAACAGTTAAACAGTTATGCAAGAAGGTATAAGTATTAATTTAGAATCATTAAAAAAGACCAAATTAAAAGATAAAAACCATGAGACTTAGAGTTTTAATTAAATGCAAAGTTAAAGAGATGTTTTCAGATGTTTATTAAACATTAGATGTTAGATGTTTTCAGATGTTTATTTAAAAGTGAGCTCTGAGCTCAAAAGTCTGATAAAAGGTCAGACACTCTGTGTTGTAAGCGGAGCTTTAAGGTCATTTAAAGCCCTAAAAACTAGCAGCAGAGCTTTAAAATCTATCCTGAACGATGCAGGCAGCCAGAGCAGCTCTGTTAAAACAGGATGCTGATGTTTTTGCCGAGTTGTAAAGGATGTATTGTTTTCTTAGGAAGTTCAGTAA